CGAGAGGGCGACGGGGGAGGGGCTGCGTCAGCCCCGGGCTGCGGCGGCGCGGACGGGGAAGGGAGCGGCCCGGCGGCTGCCGCCTGCCCCGCACGGGGTGACGGCTCCTCAGCCCCGGTTCCGGCCGTCCCATCCCCTTCGGGACTACCGGGCCCGAAGGTAAACATGACCAACGCACCCGCCCCCCGCTCCCGGCCGCAGCCCCGCCGGCCGACACCTCAGCGCTCCCGCTCCAGCCGCCACTTCCGGCGTGCCACCGCCTAACCCTGCCGGCTGGGAAACACGCGCCGCCCTCGGCTACCATCCGTTGGGGACCGCGAAAGCTGGGACACCGCCTATGGCGGACGCTTTATCCCGGCGGGACGGTGATCGGCAACGACTGTGTTTGAGCGCAACTGAGAATGCCCAGGGCCCGGGCTGCATGGGGCAGTGGTAGCATCAGGGCACCCCTGCGACAGTCGGTAATTGTCAGTCATCGTGACTGTGTGCCTGGGGATGAGTGGGCCTGAATAAAGGGGTGGACTATGATATGTACTGTTATCCCCAATTTAGGCTAAGGTCCCAAGGGGAAGAAATTACCATATCCTGTGCAGGTCCCACATAGTAAAGTGGCACGGTGTACTGCCTACTCAGACGGGGAGTCTAAGGACTCAGGTTCACTGTTGTGCTAAAAGCCAAGGCCTGGGGCACCTCGGTGCTTCAGTCAGTTAGGTGTGGGACTCCTGATTTCAGGTCAGGATCTCAGGGTGGTAAGACCAAGCCCCTCCCTGGGCCCTGGGCCCAGCAGGGGACTCGGTTTTAGACTCTCTCTCTGCCCCTCCCGACTGCTCTCTCAAATAAATAAAAAATCTTAAAAAGTAAAGAAAAAATAAAGCCCAGGTCTATACAGGAACTGGAAAATGGGGTCTATTGGTGCGCCCTGAATATCTGCCCAACTCCCAGCTACTGCCCAGTAGGTCAAGATTTTATCAAGGCCAGGGACGCCTGGGTGGCTCAGTCGGTCTGCCTTGGGCTCAGGTCATGATCCCAGGGTCCTGGGATCGAGTCCCTCATCAGGCTCCCTGCTCGTCAGGAAGCCTGCTTCTCCCTCTGCCTGCTGCTCCCCCTGCTTGTGCGCTCTCTCTCTGACAAATAAAATCTTTAAAAATAAATAAAAATAAGATTTTTTCAAGGCCTAAGTCGTCTTCTCCCTCAGGAAGGAGCATATATCCAGCAGGAGTCACCGAGTGGAGCTGGAGATCTAAATCAAATCAACCGTACAAGCAACAGAGCCCAAGGTCAAATCCTGCTTATATGTGCCAGGCAGGGCACAGAGGGCATGACAGATGCAAGGCCGTTCACTACTGCTGTTAAAGATCAATATATAGAACTCATTTGTAAAAAAAAGTTAACAGGAACTGGGGTGGTTCTTGGGAAGGGAAGGAGTCTTCAATAAAAAGCTTGAGGTACAAGGAAAGGTAGATATAAGAACTGACAACTCATCTAGGCCTTGATCAAGAGCCATGTTGTAGAAAGCTCACATTTGATGATTGAGGATAAATCTGGATCTTTGCCGGAAGAGCTATCCTGTGAGGACAGATCTGAAGGATCTCTACAGTAAGGGAATGAGATTCAGAGGGCTGAACATTCAGCAGGTCCTCCCACCAGGAAAGTTAGTAGTTCTTCAGCACTCTTGTCCATGAGCTGATTGAAAAAAGGGCAAGAAGCATCCATCCTGAGTTCAGAGATCAGGCATCAGGATACTCTCCATGTTGCCCCCACAAAGTAGAAGGGGTAGAGGTCTATTTTGTAATTAAATAATGTTCCTTAAAGACCCCCAACTTCTGGCTGCAACAAATACTTAGTAGAGGCCCTCTGCTTGACCCCTAATTTTTTTTTTTATTTAAGATTTTATTTGAGAGGGAGAGAATGAGAGAGAGAGAGAGAGAGAGCACGAGAAGGGGGAGGGTCAGAGGGAGAAGCAGACTCCCCACAGAGCAGGGAGCCCGATGCAGGACTCCATCCTGGGACTCCAGGACCATGACCTGAGCCATTAAGCAGTCGCTTAACCAACCAAGTTATGGCCAATGGCTAAAATTTTATGGTCTATAAAACTGACCATTCACCAATATTATTAGATTTTTAATAGGTAAAATAAAACAGTTTTAAAAGGTTACATATTCCAAGGCATTTAAGATATAATTCCAACAGAAGAACACAAGCTCTGCAATGAAAGTTTGTGCTGCCTCAAGAAAATCAGATTTCACAGTTCAGGCAATTCAAATTTTTTTCTTTCTTTCTTATGCTTCTATTTAAAATGTGAGTCCTCACTTATCAAATATTTTTTGCTAAAAGCTAAAATAATAAATTACATAAGGACTAAAATTCTACTGACATGATCATGAATGTACAACCCATCAGTAAAATAGACAAAGTAAATAAAAATTTACTGGAAGTTAACTGAGAAGGCACTAAAGATAGATTAACTGTGACTGCTCCTATTTACCCACTGCCCTTGAGAGCCTTTAAATACAACCATGTCATGTTAACAAGGAACTGACTGCAAATCACAGTCTATATAGACCAATTTCTATGTAACACTATTTTTGAGTGCTAAAAAATTTTCGACTTCAACAGCTCAATTTCACAGATAACAGTTCATCAGAAAAGCATCCTCTGAACTTCTTTGCCCTGATGTTCTTTTTAGATCACAATACAAGGAAACAATTGGCAAACATTTCCCCTACGCCCAGGAATCACATGTCCCTGGATAGGATCTTTAGGATCTTTAGAATCTAGCTCTTTGAGCAGGCAGGGAGCAAATTCATTTACTTTCTTTCCTATCCACTGACTAGATGTTTTTAAAAAACTACTTCCCAAGTAATGTAGTGTGCCTGAAATATAAACACTAATTGTTCTGTTTAGGCTTTTACACTTTGGGAGCAGCAGCTGATTCACTCCTGATGTCTTTGACACCATTGGTACTGCCCATCAAATAGAATTCTTTGTTGGGAACAAGATCGACAAAATGAGCAAGGTGGTTGGACATGGCAAAAAAAGCTGAAATGGCAGCGACATCCCAAGCATCTTCTCGATTGAAGCCATGCATCTCTAACTTTTTGAAATGGTCATCTGTTATGTCATCACTCGGGAAATAGCAACTGCAAACTCCAGCATTGCCTTTTCCCGAGTAGGGAGGTCAGACTTTCTCCAGTTCACATAGACCTGCAAGAAAACACAGTCAAAAGCAGAATCTCTGTTCATCACAATATAGCTGATAAAACAAAAGGTCTAACAAAATGAAAAACCCTTTAGAATAAAGGGGCAAAGTCAGGACAAAATACTTTCCAATGGAATACAAACTTGAAACTCTGGCTCAGCCCCACCTCTGCCAAGAAGTCTTCTTTACTCACTCCAACTCTAAGCACGTCTTGCTCCTCTAAATACTTATGGCTCCAAAAATCTCAGAAGCAAGACTCAGAAACTCTAAGTACATAAGGACCCCAAATCCAAACTTTTTCTTATGAGTAAAGAGAAGCTCAGATAATTATCCCTTTGTCCCAATTAATCCCAAACAAGAAACAATATCTGCAAAATTAATAGCTGACACTTACCAATTACTATGTGCTAAGGATGTGCTCAATGCTTCATATTCATTGTCTTATTTCTTATAAAAATCCTAGGAAGTAGTATTTTTATTATTGCCCCCATTTTATTGGCAAAGAAATCAAAGCTCAGGGAGGTCAAGCGACTTTCCCAAGGTCATACAGTTGGAAAGTGGCAGAGCTGGGATGTGAATCAAAGTGTATTTGATTCCAAAGATTATACTTATAATCATTACCCTTGCTCAAGTAAAATACTGAAAACCACTAACCACCTAGAAAATAGAAGAACAGTTCAGCAAACCATGGTGTGACAGCATACACTATGGCCACCAGGGAAGCAATGCCTAGAGAATGATCTTGGATGAATAAAGGTCTGGCAACCAGGCAGGAGGCTCTCAGCACAGCAAAGGTGAGAGGATGTACCTGTCCTGAAGTTATCTTCAGGGTGGCAACAGGGGCCCTTCAGGAACAGTTTGCAAGGTCTCCACTCAGGTGGGGTCAGGAGAGTAAGTTGGGGGATAGGAAGACCAATGACCCTCAACCTCAGGAATAAATGCAGAGAACAGAGGTTTCTGTTCCCCAGCCCAGAGGATCCGGAATTTCACTGTAGGGATCAGTAGGACTTTGTATGTTTGGTGACAAACCCATGTCTGCTGTGTCTTTACCCTTAATCCATTTGTCTGGGAAGAATTAGCATGACCTCTGACACCCAAAGGGCCTGATTTTGGATGGAGATAATAGGCTGTTGGCTGGGGGGATTGAGACCCATTTTCACAACCAATCTCGGTGGGAAAGAGAAGATGGAGGCAGTTGTACAAATGAGAAGCAGACAGATGTAGGCTTGGGGCTAGCAGGAAGAAATAAAAGAAAACCTAAGAAACTCGTTTGGGCCCATTAGGAATAATTAGCTAAATTCACAATGGCAAATGCAAACAATATAATGTAGCAGAAAAGAGTGCAAGCTTTGAAAATGGACTCTCATATTCTAGTTGCATGCCCCATGTTAAGTTACAGCTCTGAACCTCAAGGATAAAATGGTTATTAGTAAGGCTCAACTTAGAGGGAGCTGTGTGCATTTGAGAGAATGTATGCCATGTATCCAGGATCAGGTGTGGCACAAAGCTGTGGTTCAGCTAACCCCTAGTCTCAAACATCATGTACACACAGAAGCATGTGGGAACAGTGATGGGACTAGAAGGGAACTCAAGCAATGGGAAGAGCTGCAGGGGGAGGTGTTCCCTGCACCATATAGTGGCATGGACTTTCCCTTTCCTTAGGTATGAAGAAGCCCTGAAATCGGCACAGGGGAGGTAGGCACCAACCTGGTCAGAAAGCACTGGGTTCTTTGACCCTGTACCAGGCACTGTGGACAACCATGCTGTATGGGCACCTGTTGGCCAGGCTAGTCACCACAATGATGAGCTCCTTGTCAGCTCTGCTGAGCTGACCTACGGAGGGAGAGGGGAGGAGACCTGTCCATAAGCCTTGGATAGCAGCTCAGAAGAACCTAGACAGGTTCAGCCATACTTTAGCAACAGAGGTGCCCGCCTTCTCACCTACCCCTTCACTTATGCATTCATTCCCAGTCTCTTGCTACTAACCAGCCTATTTTATTTTCTTCACAATACTTAACACTT